TTACATAGGAAATATCTTGAAAAATCTTCTTCTCAAGAACAACTAAGAAATATTAGTCATATTTAAACAGAAGCAACCTTAGGTATTGTAGAATCAAGCTAATCAAATTATGACCCCCAGGGGTTGGGGGCACAACAGAGGGTAAAAGTTTTACGTAAGAATATATTTTACATAAGAATATATAATATATATATATATCTTGAAACAAGATGTGTTTGTGAAACACTGATGCCCCCATATGGCAACTTAGAGCAAAGGTTAAACTTTCTCAAATGCAAATCAAATATGTTGGTACCCAAAGTAAAGTCTTATCTCGAGGAATAGAACTGTGAAATATGAAAACACTAGCAGCAACCATTGAATAGATATGGAAAAGGTTAAAGTTTTTTTCAAAAGTATGTCAAACATCAAGGTCAAATGGTCAAAATTAATGGTGCCCAAGGAAACGCCTTCTCCCAAGAAATACACAGGTGAAATATGAAAGCCGAAGCACCAATGGTTCAAAAGTTTTGACCAAGGTTAAAGTTTTCCAAAAGTAGGTCAAACTCCAAGGTCAAAGGGTCAAAGTTGTTGGTATATAAAGAAAGGTCTTGTCACTAGGATTACAAATGTAAAGTATCAAAACCCTAGCACCAACCAATCAAAAGTTATGACCAAGGTAAAAGTTTTCCAAAGGTAGGTCAAACTTCAAAGTCAAAGGGTCAAAGTTGTTGGTATCCAAAGAAAGGTCTTGTCACAAGGATTGCACATGTGAAATATGAAAGCCCTAGCACAAATTGTTCAAAAGTTATGGCCAAGGTTAAAGTTTTCCAAAAGTAGGTCAAACTCCAAGGTCAAGGTAAAAGGGTCAAAGTTGTTAATATTCAAAGAAAGGTCTTGTCACAAGGATTGCATATTTGAAGTATGAAAGCCCTAGCTCCAACCGTTCGAAAGTTATGGCCAAGGTTAAAGTTTTTCAAAAGTAGGTCAAAATTCAAGGTCAAGGTCAAAGGGTCAAAGTTGTTGGTATCCAAAGGAAGGTCTTGTCACAAGGATTATACATATGAAGTATGAAAGCCCTAGCATCCATCGTTCTAAAGTTATGGCCAAGGTCAAAGTTTGGTAAAATTTTGCAAAACTGGGTCAAACTCCAAGGTCAAGGTCAAAAGGTCAAATATGGTGGTACCCAAAGAAGGGTCTTGTCACAAGGAATACACATGTGAAATATGAAAGCCATAGCTCCAACCAATCAAAAGTTATGTGCAAGGTTAAAGGTTTTGCAGACAAACAAACAAACAGATAAACAGACAAACAGACAGACAGACAGACAGGGCAAAAACTATATACCCCCGAATCTTCGATATGGGGGCATAAAAATCTTCTGCTCAAGAACAGCAAAGCCATGATTAGTCATATTATTATATATAGAAGTATCCTCAGGTAGTGTAGATCCAAATTTGTTCAAATTTAGGGTGGGTAGGGTAGGGCCAAAATGAGCGATCTAGAGTTTTACATACGAATACATAGGGGGAAAAAATCTTTAAAATGCTTCTGCTCAAGAACAGAGAGTCATGTTTAGTAATATTGATATGGAAGCATCCTGAGGTAGTGTAAATTTGTTGTTCATTTTGGATACGAATGAATAGGTTGAATCCATGCTACGCATGATTCAGCCACATATTAGGTAGATTTTTGGGTGTTTTAAGTCATTCAAAGTCTGCTGCTATATTGCAACTGACTACCCCAACTCCCATGCCTCCAAATACTGTTATTTCGTACTTGTGTATTGTTTTGTTTTATATTGTTGCTTTATATTGGGCCATTTTCTTTTGTAGAACGATATGAATATTTTGATAAGAAGTTGAACTAAAGATTTTCTTTGTACATATATATGCAATTTTTAGCTCTACTGGTCAGAGATAAAGGTGTCCGTTGTCTGTCTGTCTAGCTGTCTGTCCATCTGTAAACAATTTTTCAAAATGCTACTCCTCCTACAATTTTAGTCTGATTTCAATATAACTTGGCACACAAGTAGACTACACTAAGATACATAAAATGTGGCATCGGTTTTTGATTTTGTTGAAGGGTGTTGCCATATGGTTACTAAAAATAGAATTTCTTTGAAATTCCTTTAAAACGCTACTCCTCCTCAAGTTTTGGTTGATTTCAATAAAATTTGGCACACAAGTAGACAACACTAAGATACATTATTCTCTTTATCAGTTTTTGATTTGTTGCCATGATTACTAAAAATAGAAATAATGATATCTGTGAAATACATTCAAAATGCTACTCCTTTTTTAGTTTTGGTTTAATTTCAATGTAACTTGGCATGCAAATAGACTACACTCAGACACATAATTGTCTTTATCATTTTTAGCTCACCTGAGCCGAAGGCTCAAGTGAGCTTTTCTGATCACATTTTGTCCGGCGTCCGTCTGTCTAGCTGTCTGTCTGTCTGTAAACTTTTCACATTTTTGACTTCTTCTCAAGAACCACTGGGCAAAATTCAACCAAACTTGCCAAAAAGCATCCTTGGGTGAAGGAGATTCAAGATTGTTCAAATGAAGGGCCACACCCTCTTTAAAGGGGAGATAATTAGGAATTAAGGAAAAAATAATGGAATCATTTAAAAATCTTCTTCTCAAGAACCACTGGGCCAGGAAAGATGAAAGTGGAAACATCCTCAGGTAGTGTAGATTCAAGTTTGTTCAAATCATGACCCCCGGGGGGAGGGTGGGGCCACAATGGGGGATCAAAGTTTTACATAGAAATATATAGGAAAATATCTTTAAAAATCTTCTTCTTAAGAACAGCAAAGCCATGATTGGTCATATTTATATGGAAGCATCCTCAGGTAGTGTAGATTCAAGTTTGTTCAAATCATGACCTCCGGGGGGAGGGTGGGGCCACAATGGGGGATCAAAGTTTTACATAGAAATATATAGGAAAATATCTTTAAAAATCTTCTTCTTAAGAACAGCAAAGCCATGATTGGTCATATTTATATGGAAGCATCCTCAGGTAGTGTAGATTCAAGTTTGTTCAAATCATGACCCCCGGGGGGAGGGTGGGGCCACAATGGGGGATCAAAGTTTTACATAGAAATATATAGGAAAATATCTTTGAATATCTTCTTCTTAAGAACAGCAAAGCCATAATTGGTCATATTTATATAGAAGCATCCTCAGGTAGTGTAGATTCAAGTTTGTTCAAATCATGACCCCTGGGGGGAGGGTGGGGCCACAATGGGCAATCAAAGTTTTACATAGAAATATTTAGGAAAATATCTTTAAAAATCTTCTTAAGAACAACAAAGCCATGATTGGTCATATTTATATAGAAGCATCCTCAGGTAGTGTAGATTCAAGTTTGTTCAAATCATGACCCCCGGGGGGAGGGTGGGGCCACAATGGGGGATCAAAGTTTTACATAGAAATATATAGGAAAATATCTTTAAAAATCTTCTTCTTAAGAACAGCAAAGCCATGATTGGTCATATTTATATAGAAGCATCCTCAGGTAGTGTAGATTCAAGTTTGTTCAAATCATGACCCCTGGGGGGAGGGTGGGGCCACAATGGGCGATCAAAGTTTTACATAGAAATATATAGGAAAATATCTTTAAAAATCTTGTTAAGAACAGCAAAGCCATGATTGGTCATATTTATATGGAAGCATCCTCAGGTAGTGTAGATTCAAGTTTGTTCAAATCATGACCCCTGGGGAGAGGGTGGGGCCACAATGGGCGATCAAAGTTTTACATAGAAATATATAGGAAAATATCTTTAAAAATCTTCTTAAGAACAGCAAAACCATGATTGGTCATATTTATATAGAAGCATCTTCAGGTAGTGTAGATTCAAGTTTGTTCAAATCATGACCCCCGGGGGAGGGGGGGCCACAATGGGGGATCAAAGTTTTACACAGAAATGTGTAGGAAAATATCTTTAAAAATCTTCTTCTTAAGAACAGCAAAGCCATGATTGGTCATAATTTATATAGAAGCATCTTCAGGTAGTGTAGATTCAAGTTTGTTCAAATCATGACCCCAGGGGGAGGGTGGAGCCATAATGGGGGATCAAAGTTTTACATAGAAATATATAGGAAAATATCTTTAAAGATCTTCTTCTTATGAACAGCAAAGCCATGATTGGTCATATTTTTATGGAAGCATCCTCAGGTAGTGTAGATTCAAGTTTGTTCAAATCATGACCCCGGGGGTAGGGTGGGGCCACAATGGGTGATCAAAGTTTACAGAGGAATATATTGGTAAAAATCTTTTCCTCAGGAACAGAAAAGCCATGATTAGTCAAATCGATATGGAGGCATCCTTGGGTAGTGTAGAATGAAATTTGTTCAAATGAGGGTCCCCGGGGGTGGGCCACAATGGGAGATCATTTTTTTTTTACAAATGAATATATGGGAAATAATCTTCTGCTCAAGAACAGCAAAGCCATTTGTTATATTGATATGAAAGCATCATCAGGTAGTTTAAAATTCAACCCCCCCCCTCCCGTAAACTTTTCAATACTGAACTGATTCTTGCTTTTTTCCCTAGCCAATGTGCTCAGGTGAGCGATGTGGCCAATGGGCCTCTTGTTTTTTTTTATTTTGATGAATGATGTTGCCATGGTTACTAAAATCAAAATTTCCGTAAAAATCTTTTGAAAGGTTACTCTTCCTACAATTTTAGTCTGATTGCAGTAAATCTTGCCACAAAAAGAGACTTAACCAAGGACTGTTATTCTATTTAGTTGCAAAGTTTCAAGTCGAAGTGCTACTTTTCTTTTCTTTTGTTGTAAGTACAAACCAGTAGAACTACAGTCTCATCAGAGACTTCTTGTTTAAAGTCTGTTGCACTTGGTACTTGTTAACGAGTCAGATTTATTTATTAGAATATGTTTCAAAAAGATAAAAACAGGATAGACGTCTCATTTTTTTTTGTAGATGAATATGACATCAGTAAGCTATTCGCCACATCAAAGCATTTCTGTTCTGTTGGAGGATATTTTGGAAAAATGCTGCAATGAATTGCATGATGACAAATTTATTCAAAATAATCCAAATTATCCTGAGAATGTTTCCAGTGAAGTACATCAGACAATGAATGAGATACTGGACTACCTAGATGATGTAAATGAATATGCAAAGAATACCTCAGCAGAATCAACTGAGCCTTCAAAACAAGGGGAAATAACTCAGGATCAACAGAGTAGTTTGATTGGAGTCATGAACTTATTAGTAGATAAGGAGAATGATAAGGATATCTATGAAGTTATGGATTTTTTGTTATTTAAATGCTGTGAAATTGCAGATAAAAATCATACCTCAGATTACATCCTCAGAGAAAAATTCACAAATGTCTCTAAAGTATTACAAGGAAGTGAAAAATCCAAGTACAGAGCATATTTGAATGAGGATTCTTGGAACTACATTAGTTCACCTGATGTCTTTAAAGAAAATTTAACAGATCACAAGATAAGGAAGAAGAGTTTACCAGAAAATTGGGATTTCAAGAGCAAGCTATTGAATCAAGAAGGAAGCATTACAGAAAATCAAGCAGTTGATAATTTGTGGGTAAAACATGATAAAGAAAAATCAAATTTCAAACAGGGATTGAATGAGGTTGATGCTGGAACCAACAAAGTTTGTTTCAATGTTAGTGAAGGTGTAAACCTTGTATCACATGACCTACCATCACTAAGGTGTATTTGTAAACAAGTACTGCTTGGACCAACAGCTGACACTCAGGATGTTGAAGGTCTTAAAAGTCCAAAAATGGTGCAGGGAAATGAACATTATCATTTTGAGCTAGAATCAAAAGACAATCAAAGAAATGATTGTGAGGGAAAAATGAGGTTTATCAAATATTTAGGTTTATCACCATCACTGACATTAGAAAAAGAAACAGATACTGAAAATTTTTGCTGTGATGCTGAGCAGAATGCACATGAAAGTCTTTTACAACCCACATTAATAGAAAGCAAGTCAAAGAATTACACATTGAACTGTACAGAAATAAAACAAACCATCAGGGAGCAAGATAACGTCTTTGAATTAAATCTTCCTAATTTACAGTGTGTGTCAATGAAAACTGAGGCATTTAAGGATCAGTCTGCTGATATGAAACAAGGGACACTGCTTAAAAAGACTGAAATTCAAAGTGGTCTTCCCGTGGATATGGAGCAATTGATTCCATGCAAACGAATGAAACTAGAAGAAAAAGAATCAAGTATGTTTGAAAACCATCATACTGATGAAAAACCAATTGAATTGCACTTGTTAGTCAAAATAGCTAGTGTAGATGACATTAAAGAGGATTCAAATGAGAATATGCTATATGCTACTGTAGACATGAAGAAAGAAAAACAAAGTTTAGTTGAATATACAACCAGAAAAGACATTAAAAATAAACAAGACATTTTAAGTGTTGGACAATCAGAGAGTCTTGTACCTCTAAATTTTTACAAAGAAAAGCAGTTAAAAATGAAGTTTGATGAAGTAGAAAAGAAAGTTTCAGAATGTGATAAAAACCAAAGTAATGCTAATCTGAGTAAAGTATTGGTTAGCGATAGTATTCCTGAATTAAGAACTAAGGATGACAACAAATTTACATTTAGTACAGAAGAGGGATGTGTATTTAAAGAAATGCAATCAACAGAACAGATAGTTCCATCTACAGTGAACAAAGAACACACAGAAACATATGAAAGAGAATCATTTTATGATGGTATGTAAAATTACAAGTAATAGCATATACAAATTCATGTGCAATACATAACATTATACTTTGATTTCAGTGATAAACTAATGGGTTACTCAGTACCTTTCTTAGTAATCAGTAATTAATTAATTACACAGTGAAAACTGTCTAATCTGACACCTGTGTGCAATCCGTTTCACTGTGAATGACTATTATTTGAATTCCAATTTTACTGTTTTCTATGTTCTGTACACAGTGTTATCTGACACCCTGTCTATTCTGACACAAATTGTCTCCCATTGCATGTCAGATTAAACAGGTTTCACTGTAGATACAAGATCTTAATGGCAATTAGTAAGATATGCTGGTAAATGCATGTACTGGGATACATTAAAATCCATTCAAACACCCACAGTAACTGATAAAAACATAAAATGGAAATTAATTAAGGATGCATATTTCAAAACCTCTATTGCTATGTAAACTTTTATTTCCAGATGCTTAGTTGGAAGAAAAACAATTGTGGTATTGCTATAAAGTTTTTTAATGTCAGAATATTCTCATATCACTCCAAGTGATTGAAGAATGTTGGCCATTTTGGAAACATGTGTATGTTCATCCTATTTTATTGAATACTTTCAGAAGAGAATTACAGATGTGATAAATTCAGAAATCTTGGTATGAAAGAAACAGTTTTGCATGATGAACAAAAAGGTAATGTTAGGAATCTAAAAAGTAATTATTTTATTAATACAATGTGCATACCTTTTAAATAGTAATATATGTAGTATATATTTGGTAATTTTTTTTTTGAATTTTTCAATGAAGTTAAATATTACTATCTAATTACAATTCTCATTACTTTGGTTCACTTGGTAGACACCTATCAAACACAACAAGCAGTTCACTACAAATATTTGAATATTTTTTTCAATGATATTCACAACTAAACACATATTTTAACGGCAGAGGATAAAAGTTCTGTAAAAGTGGAAACTTTGACAAAATTGACAAATATCTACCGGAAATAATCTTTAAAATTTCAACTCGTTCACATTCCTCTTAAATAGCACTGTTAAATACTAGAAGGTTATCAAAGTTTCCACTCACCATTTTCTTCAAATTTTCAACCCTTAAAAAAAACACTTTTACAGTATGTTAGTTGAAACTTGGGCCGGGTTTCACAAAACTATCGTAAGATTTGTCCTAAGATAGATCTTAATACGATCATCTTAAGATCTGACTTATGACAATCATAAGATATGTCACTGCCATTTCACAAAACTATCTTAAATATAAGAAATCTTAAGACAAGCGTACATTTTTTGTTTTCAATCGTATAGTACACAGTATTTACTGGCAAAATTATTGCACGTAGGTGGAGTGGGGGGGGGGGGGGGGGGAGGTTAAATGTTCCGACTGGCCTGATCTAGTCCCAAGAATTTTTCCATTTCTGAAAACCATTCTCTTTTAAAAAAAAATATTCGGTTTTGAACTAAAAGATATACTTTCAACATGTTCACTTTAGTCTTGAGACGGGTATTTAGTTGTCTTAAGATTAAGATAGATCTTAAGATTTCAATTTCAAGATACATTGGCATCAGTTAAGAAAAGAAAGGATAAAAAAAATTCAGAATAATGCTGCTAACCTTATGACTATAAATTTAGAAAAAAAATTCTTTTATACCCAAATCATAATGGATTTGTTGTAAAATGTGCTAGTTAAGCTTTCTGTTGGTTCTGTAAAAGGGGGGAAATCAATCAACTGTTAAATAGTCAATAATGCAAAGTTGAAGATATCCAAAATTTTACAGCACAAAATTATACCCAATGTCTGATTTTTTCTGAAAAAAGATGTTGTGTTTCGTTTCTTTTTTGTGTTAATAAATAGGCATTTACTGTACTCTAGATTCTGTTCATGGTGTGTTTGAACCAAATACTAAGTGCTTCAAGTGGAAATACACTCCATCTTATGTTGATGATACAGATGCTGTTGTTCCTGATACAGAGAAAAAAGGTAATCATGTTAGAACAAGGACCTTAATATGTAATTGGGAGAGGAATTTGTAAGTTTTAACTCGCAAGAGTCTCAAGTGAGCTTTTTGATCAAATGTTTTCCTGCCACAGTCCATCCATCTGTTGATCGTCATCTGTAAACTAAACTTCATATTTTCAACTTCTTCTACAGCATCCTCAGTGAAGATGATTCAAGTTTCTTCAATTGAAGAGGCATGCCCTCTTTCAAGAAGAGATAATCAAGAAATTAATGAGAAAATATGGTGGGGTCATTTTAAATTAATCCTGATGATTAAAAAAAAAAATGCCATGATTGGTTATATTTATATGGAAGCATCCTCAGGTAGTGTAGATTCAAGTTTGTTTAAATCATGACCCCTGGGGGTATGATGGGGTCACAAAGGACAATCAAAGTTTTTCATAGGAATACATAGGAAAAATCTTTAAAAAGATATTTCTCTCAAGAACAGCAAAGCCATGATTGGTAATATTTATATGGAAGCATTTTCAGGTAGTGTAGATTCAAGTTTGTTTACATTATGACCCCGGGGGTTACAATGGAGAATCAAAGTTTGACATAGAAATGTATAGGAAAAATCTTTACATATCTTTTTCTCATGAACAGTAAAGCCATGATCGGTCATATTTATATGGAAGCATCCTCGGGCAGTGTAAATTCAGATTTGTACAAATCTTGACCCCTGGGGGTAGGATGGGACCACAATGAAAGTTCAAATTTATAGGGGAAAAAAGCCATGATAGTTAGTCAAAGAAATATATATGTAAACATCCTAAGTGAAGATTCAAGATATATCATACCCCCCTCCCTTTTAGGGGTAGGTTGAGACCACATGCATTTAATCTTTTCAAAACTGAACTGATTTCTGCTTTTTTCCTAGCTACAGTGCTCAGGTGAGCGATGTGGCCCATAGGCCTCTTGTTATAATACTAGTATATCAGTCTGAAACATTCTTTCAATGTGTAAGTTATGAAATGCTGACGAAGATTATAAACTTCAAATCTGTTTCCATGCCCATTTAATTTCTAGCTCACCTGAGTAGAAGGATGTATGCCATCTGTAAATTTTTCACATTATTGACTTCTTCTGAAGAACCACAGGGCCATTTTAACCAAACTTGCCACAAAGCATCCTTAGGTAAAGGGGATTAAAGTTTATACAAATAAAGGGCATGCCCTCTTTCAAGGGGAGATAATTAAGAATTAGTTAAAATTTAATGGCATCTTTTTAAAATCTTCTCAGTAACCACTGGGCCAGAAAAGATGAAACTTAAGTGAAAGCTCAATTACATAGTATAAATTCAAGTTTATTGAAATAATGATTCCTAGGGCAGGATGGGGCCACAATAAACATTTACGTTTACATAGGAATACAAAGGAAAAATCTTTAAAATCTCAAGAACGGCCAAGTCATGATTATTCATATTTATATGTAAGCATCCTCCTATAATTTTTTTAAGGTTGTGTAGAATCAAGTTTGTTCAAATCATGGCTGGGGGGGGGGGGGGGGGGCACAATGGACAATCAAAGTTTTACATAGGAATATATAGGAATTTTTTATAAATCTTCTAATCAAGAACAACAAAGCTATGATAAGTCATAACATGGAAGCATCCTCAGGTAGTGTCAGGCCTTTCAAAATCTGCCTATACCCGATACTTTTACCCAGCTGAAATCATGATTGTACCACTACCAGCCAAAATATTTGATGGAGAAAAATTCGCTTACATATTTAATTAAAATTGCTTCCACAAGGTACCTATTTTTGTAACAGTACTACCTGTTTTACATAGGGGAAAAATTACCATTTAAGAACAGCAGAGCTATGTTACTCAGGTGAGTGATATGGCTCATGGACCTCTTGTTAAAGTTTCTAATCATTTTACTGTGTGTGATTTGAATCCTTGCTAGCTTTGGTTTAACTGCAAACAATGAAGTAGATATTTGTGTAATTTATCTCTGTTAAAAAATGATTTTAAATCTTCAAAAGAAATAGAAATCTATATAAGGCCATCTTTAAATAATTGTTTGTTTGCCCTCTCACGACCAGCTGGCTAAAAATGGCTAAAAATGGCCTGACTCAAAACTTTCCTTAAACCTCCAGGAAAGGATTTTTAGGTCACCTGAGTCACTCAGGTGACCTATTGCTATCTGTTTTTGTCCCTCGTAAACTTTTGAACAATTACAGGTTCTTCTCTTGAACCGCTGAACCAATTACAGTCAATTTTTACATATAGCATCAGATGGTAAAGGGTACAAAAATATTATTGTGAATTTCATGGTCCCTCCCCCCCCCCCCCCACCAGAGGCCAGAGGGGTGGGGCTAAAACCATCAAAATTAGTGCTATCTTTAAAAATCATCTTCTTTACTCCTGGACATCAAGCAGTCAAACTATTGGCATGATTGTAATAAACATTGAGTCCTCTAACAAAATTGTGAAAATTTATGGCCCCAGGGTCAGGGGTTCTGGAGTTAGGGTGTGACTCTAATGATCATACAGTGAAACTGTATAAATTCTTTGAAAATCTTCTTCTCTGCTCCTGGGTATTAAGCAAACAATCAAATTAAGTGCATACCAGTCTTGTAGAGTAGGCTTTCCCCCAAAAAATCTTTCACCCAGGAAAACTGGCTCTAGAGTAGGATTTCCCTCTGGAAAACAGGCTCTAAAATAGGATTTCCCCCATGGAAAAATGACTCTAGAATAGGATTTCCCCCATTGAAATCCCACATCAGATTCAATTTTCTGGGAGGAAATCCTACTCTGTGCTATGGTTATAGAGTGCGATTTCCCCTAGAGTCAATTTTCCCCTAGTGAAATATCACGGTTGTACTTATGTATGAGGGGGGAAGGGGCGACACATTGTTACCAGTGTTCCCAGTGTTTTCCCTTTATTTCAAAGTAAAAGATTAGAGATCAATTGTAACAGGCTTTGGGTTGAAATTTATGACAAATCTCTGTGGACCTTACAACAATCTAATTTTGATTTTTTTAAATTTATATATATTTTTTTATTTTGAAGCGGCATTTTTATCAATTGAAGCTGTCAATTTGGCCGGTAGCCAGTTCTTAGGGAAAACACTGCTTCCTTCTTCAAATGGCAACCAGTTCCATTGAAACATAGGAAGTAATTGAAGAATCAAAATTTTTTATCTCATTTCTCTCAGTAAGTATCCAACCAATTCTTTTGAAGCATTAAAATTGTATTCTTTTCATCTGGTCAAACTGGTTTCTGAAAAAAAATCGTACAATGTTATCAGTTGGACAAATTTTTAACTGTATCCATGGAAACAAAAAGGAATTTTACATTATTAAATGGATTTTTTCTCCAATTGTATTTTAAACTATATTTACATATTTTTGATACATGTATATATGTGTCTTCTCTAAGTTTCTGGTGTTTAAATATCAAAAATAGCTGCAGTTGCCATGGAACTAAAAATTAGTTATTTATTTCTAAAAATTTGAAATTTGCAAAACTTTAAGAGAATATTTGCCGTCTGCTTTCAAATCCAATATGTCACCGCTAGGGTCAAGGAGACATACCTATGCTTCGGTTTCGAAAAGCAATGTTTCTTGTATTGTTAGTTTTTAGTTTTGGCTTTTTTTTTTCCCTTAAGTTTGAAGAACTCGAATCAAATACTGACAAAATAGTATGTGGAACCTTTGATAACGTAAATTTTAGAATTTTCTCACACACTTTTTGGAAAAGGATTGAACCTTAGATAAAACAATGAGTTTTTTGAGGACAAACAAATTATCAAATCACTAAAGGTGACCTGATATACATTTTAAATTTGCAAACAAACAGGCGCGAGAGAGAGTGTGTTGAGACTTCAAGTCTTACGATTTTGAGTGATTAATTTTACAATTTCCTAATGAGTTAAAATTCTTGGTTGAGACTCAATGATATAATAAGATTTCATACTAAATTTGACAATTCTTAAGTAGAAAACACTCATATTTCCATTAAAAAATCAGTTCACTTTCATATAAACTTTTAGCCAAAATATTTTTGATATGATTTAAGCATTGATAAAAGAAGGGAAATCCTACTCTGAGAAAGAAAGAGGGGAAATTTGGATCTATTTTGAGATTCCCCATTGGGAGAAAATCCTACTCTAGAGTACAGATTTTGGGGGGAAAGCTGGCTATGCCCTGGGAAATCCTACTCTACAACATTGGTAGTTATGATTAGCATATGTGCCTCTTCCAAAATTGAGAGAACAGGAAAGACCAATGTGAGAGGGAATGCAGTTGGTATTCTAATAGTGTTGAAGCACTTTTTTTTTGTTTATTCAGAATGGTGATAGTAACAAATGGGGGCAGGTATATAGACAAGTAAATAGATCTGCTTTAACATTTGTTACTAAGTAATAGACTTATTATTTTGTTGATCCCTGATCATCCGATTTCTCTTGCTTTTGGGCAACATAGCTTCAATCATCTATCAGTTTTTTATCTTATATTTCTGTGGATCCTTTACAATGTTGTATTTAGGGGTGAAACGGTTCACTGCGGTATCAATTCACCGCTGTATTTTTTCTCGGTTTGATACACGGTGCAAAATCTCCATTTTCAGTTCGGTTCATTTTTTGGTCGGGATCGTTATTCAGCCAGGTTTGGCATAGGTAAAACACGCTACTCAACATTTAAAAAATTAAAAACATAATTTTTTGAGGACTGATAGTATGTAAAATAATCTTTAACAGTCGATTCATTCTAATTAACTTCTTCTAGTTAATTTGCAAGTAGATTAAATGACTGGATTCAATTAAGCACAACGTAAAACAACGTTGAATTTGTTTCCTTCTATGAAAATGGATCATATCGAAAATAACCGAACTGAGTCAAAATTCTACGATACGTATCGTATCGTGAACGAGGCGTATCGTTTCACCCCTAGTTGTATTATACTCAGGTGATCGTTAAGCCCTTTGGGTCTCTTGTAATTCTTTTTTATTCCTTCTGGGATTTTCACATCCCATCAACAACTATTTTTAAGTTTATAAGTACCTACAATTTTAATAGATTTTGAAAAATTCAGATTGATATTAAAAATTTCTGGAAAAAAAATTCCCCACCAACCAACCAACCCAATTTTTTTTTTTAATATATATATATATATAATTTAATTCTGGTTATAACACTGCATTTGATTGGATAAAAATTTACTTTATATCGTATAAATTGGGTCGCCTATGTCACAACGACTTGCATCAGAAACTTATCTATCTGCCTGACGCTACTTTAAAATTTTGTACAATTTAAAGTCATTTTTTAAGGGCAGTCATCTTTTTCCTAACACTAAATGAATGAAAATTAAATTACAGTTGAACTTCCATATCTCGAACATGGATATCTCGAATACCATGAATATGTCGAAGTCATTTTGAAGTCTCAACTGCTTATTCCTTAAGTATTTTACCCTGGATATCTCGAATCCTCGGTTATCTCGAAATATTTTTTCGGTCCCTCTGAGTTCAAGATAACGAGGTTTGACTGTATAAGGAATGAATTTAATAGCTACCCAATTTATTCAGTATAAAGTGGGTTGGAACAGCTAGTTTACGCTTTTTTATAAACTGCTTCGTGGTTTATAAAGTGTAAACTGCCCCAACCCACTTTATATCATGTAAATTGGGTAGCTATTGTATTCATTCCTTAAATAAAAAATTCAATTTTTCAGGACATGATTTACCATGTAGAATATTGCCAATATTATCTTGCAAAAAACCAATCAGGCTTGGTTTATCCAGAAAACATCATCTTGCCTCTCTTCATCCTTACATGAAAAAGGAAGCTAAGAAATAGAGGTTTGACATTAGTTCAAAATTTCTTTGAAAAATGATGCTTAGCAATACTATGAATAATATATTTGATGTTTTTATTTACAATTTCTAATAGAGAAGATCACTTTACAACAAAAAGTATGTATATGTATTTATTTTATTTTATGCTGTACAAAGAAATGTGATGTGAAGTCTGTGATATTGGTTTAGAAAATTATAATATTATTAAGAAAACTTGTTTGTATACAGTTAGATAATTGTCATATATCCAGAGCAGAAGAAGCAATCTTTGTTTGCATTGAATATGAATTTTAATAACTGTGATTCTATCACATAAGTACCGGTAGCAACAAGTGAATGAATTTGCTTTGTCTCTTTTGCTCCCTCAATTTTTGAGCTAAGACTGACTTTAATACTTTTGTCTCATTTTTTAGCTCTACTGGTCAGAGACCAGAAGAGCTTATGCGATAGTAAGGTGTCCATCATCCGTCTGTCTGTCTGTCCGCCTGTAAACAATTTTTCAAAATGCTACTCCTCCTACAGTTTTGGTCTGATTTCAATATAACTTGGCACATAAGTAGACTATACTAAGATACATAATTCTGTTTATCGGTTTTTGATTTCAATGAACGGTGTTGCCATGGTTACTAAAAATAGAGATTTCTGGGAAATACTTTCAAAATGCTACTCCTCCTACAGTTTTGATCTGATATCAGTATAACTTTGCACACAAGTAGACTATACTAAGATACATATATCGGTTTTTGATTTCAATAAACGATGTTGCCATGGTTGCTAAAAATTGAAATTTCCTTGAAATACCTTCAAAATGCTACTCCTCCTACAGTTTTGGTCTGATTTTAGTATAACTTAGCACACAAGTAGACTACACTTAGATACATAATTCTCTTTATCAGTTTTAGATTTCGATGAACAGTGTTGCCATGGTTTCTAAAAATAGAAATTTTCTTGAAATACTTTCAAAACGCTACTCCTCCTACACTTTCTATGATTTCAGTATAATGTGGCATACAAGTAGTGTACACTGAGATACATAATTGATGTTATTGTTTTTAGATTTTGTTGAATGATGTTGCAATGGTTACTTAAATCAAAATTTCTGTAATATTGTTTTAAAAGGCTACTCTTCCTACAGTTTTAGTCTGATTGCAATTAATCTTGCCACAAAAAGAGACTAAACCAATAATCATTATTCTATTTATTGCTGTTGCAAAGTTTCAAGTCCAAGTGCTACTTTTATCTTCCTTTATAAGCACAACCAGTAGAGCTACAGTCTCATCAGAGACTTCTGGTTTTTTAATTTTTCATTTAATTTAAAATGTACAAGTATACTTGTAAAAAATAGTAAAACTGGAGAATATTAATAAAACATGTACCAAAAATTTCTTTTTGTAAAATATTTGCTGACACAAGTTGGGAAAATCTTGGGGAGAGGGGGGATAGCTCATCTGAGCTATAAGCTCCAGCTTTGTCTGGTTTCTATCTGACTGTCTCCTGTAGATTCCAAAATATACAGGAGGAGTTTATTTTCAGGTAATTACAGGAGAAGCACAACTCGCAAAATAAAATTACTCACTTGTATCTTAATGTCACAGTTGATATTTAATTAAATATTTTGTAAATAAATTATATTTGATTAGCGCACATTGCTAATCAAACATAGCGCCGTCTGTGTGAATGAGTGCCATGTGTGAATGTTTTGTTTTGTCACGTGATATTTCTATTTTTAGTTTACAAACTAACCAGGTATACGAATAGGACCAGTGGACCAATGACAGACCACTATTTGATAATTAATATGCATGTATACTAACTTCGTGCACTACATAAGCGCTTATCCCGCCAAATCAAATAACTATTAGATTTCTACCTTTACGGTGTAAGAGGTCCAAACCTTCATGTTACTTTTTGAAGTCATCGACTTTCACGATGCCTTGATAATTATGTTTCATATTTTATAATACTGGATACCTGGTAAGATTTATTTCTAATGATGTAAATACTTATTAAACCAATTTCAATAATACGTAATTTATCTTTATTGGCAGCGACGTGAATTTTCATGTTGTGTAATTTGTAACTTTGTTTAATGTGTTGTATTTGTCTCTTGTTAATGTGTGTGTGTTGTGAGTGTGTTTTCTATATTTCTAGGTTTCATTTCTTTGTTATCCTCATTAAAACTTCATAAATCCGAATCCAGCGTTATATTCTTTAACGATGACCCTGTGACATTAATATTGCTGAAACACATAAAAAATGTCTTGATCAAAAGTCTTGTTCTCATGATTTGATGTCTGTGAGTCATTTCGTGATATTATTTACCGCAAAAATGGACATTTTATTATCAATTTCAAAGGAGATTACAAATAAAATAAGGTGTGTTATCAATCTTTTATGTTGAATTTTACATAAGTTAAACATGCGGAGAGTTTTAAGGGTCATTTTTCCATTTCCAAGCATTTTTGAAAATCTAGTGATTTTTAAAGCCCGATTTCAGTGGACAACATTTTCAACCCCCCTTTTGAAAAAAGTTGTAAATAAGCTAGAGCAATTAAGTTTTTTACACTGGTTTAAAATTATTGATCAATTATAAATGAGCTCTTCTTTGCATTCAATCAAGTTTTAATGGCCAAACTCGATTTATATTGAATTAAATGGGTGTAAAATGTAGGTGGAAATCGAGAGTTAGCATGCATGGTTCTTTTATTGATACTGTATGAGCAGAATTTTAAGCGAGGATTCAATTTTTGCATTATTAGTGAGGGATTTGAGATCGCTAAAATTGAATATTGCTAACAATTTATTCCATTGTGGTTGTAATAGCTATCTATCTTGACATTATAAAATCGCAAAATTTACTTCTCACTAAAAATTATATATCATTAAGGGGGGGGGGGGGGGGAATCACTAAATTTGTGTCTCACTAAAAATGTAATTTAAAAAATAGATGGTGCACAATGGCATCATGTAATAAAGATTCTAGGAAAGTCTTTTTAAATTTTATTAAGCGATACTGTATAAGCAGGATTTTTAGCAAGGATTCAATTTTGGCATTATTAGCTAGGGTTTTGAGATTGCTAGATTTGAATATTGCTAACAGTTTATTCTGTTTTAGTTGTAATAGGTATTTATCTTGACATTATAAAATCACTAAATTTACTTCTCGCTAAAAACTATACATGTATATATTTTTTTTTTTGGGGGGGGGGGGGGGGATCGCTAAATGTGTGTCTCACTAAAAATTTGACTTGTACAGTATAGAAGGAGTTGCAGATGAGAGATGGGTACCCCCAAAATTACAGAAAGAATTGCAGTGTCCATGCATGTTCTGCTAAGGAATAGCCCATATATGTATCTAATCAAAATGTAAATAGAAGGTGCACAATGGCACCATGAAATAAAGATTCTTTGAAAGTCTCATTAAATTTTGTTCAGTGGTACAGGAGGAGTTGCAGATAAGAGATGAGTACCCCAAAGGATGGATGGACACCCCCATCATGGTCCTTTAAGAGTAGCAGGGCCACAGAAAATCATATTTATGTGTCTCCAAACTCACACATTTATGAGTGTAAAGTAAAAACAGCATTAATTTCTGCATTTTTATCATGGAACTTAATAATCACAAAAATGTTATAATCAACAGGTCAATCGCCACCATTTTTTAATAAGTAAATAGAAATGCGTACATGTAAATGTCAGAAAATTGCACATTCAACAAGAATTCTGCATTAGCAAAACTAGTCCCCTACTGGCAAGTGTAATCTGGTTCCCATTAAAAATTGAAAATGCCTTAATTCAATAAATAAAATCATTGAAGCAGAACATAATACAAGCTTGATCTATAACTCATCAAGGTAGACTCAAAAAATTGAAAATGCCTTAATTCAATAAATAAAATCATTGAAGCAGAACATAATACAAACTTGATCTATAACTCATAAAAGTAGACTCGCATAACAAAAATCAGCTCAATATCTATCTACATGATTTAGAAAAAAAAGGTTGGAAAAAACTTAAGAATTAAAGAGGCCATAATTCTCTCAAAAATGATTGAAGTGGAACGAAATCCATACTTAATTTGTAGCTCATCAAGATATACTCGCATACCAAAATTCAGCTCAAGATCTGCAAGCTTTTAGAAAAAAAGTATGGAAAACCATTAAAAATTACAAAGGCCTTATTTCCCTCAAAAATCATTGAAGCAGAATGCAATCCAAAATTGATCTGTAACTCATCAAGATACACTCATATACCTACCAAAAATCAGCTCAATATATCCTAGCATTAAGAAAAAAGTATGGAAAACCAAGTGGGACAGACAAACGGACAGACAGACAAGGAGGAAACCTATAGTCCCCTTCAGTTTCAACAGTAGGGAATCAATAATATACAATTATGGACTCTTTTAGTTATGAATATGATTTGATTTTCACCAGAAAAATATCAAAATTGACCAAGGCAAAGCCAATATCAAAATTAATATTTTCTGGTGAATTTCTAATCATATTCACCACCAAAAGAGTCAATAATTGTTTTATTATATAATCTAGATTGGAATAAATAAGACATTGAAGGCTTCATGATGACACCATTTTCATTAATGCTGGAGAAAGATAAACAAGAGGCCCATACAACGCTCACCTGAGTCACTTTGGTCCTGCTGTTCTGTGTTAGATTTTCTCCAAACATAATGTACTCCTCTGTATTATTTAATTGCCTTTTGTGGCCTCATTCTATACACAGGGACTATGATTTGAACAAAAATGGATCTACACTGTCAGAGGATGCTTCCACATTAATTTGATTCATCATGGATTTGAGGAGTTTCAAAGATTTTTCCCTATATAATCCCTATTATGGCCCCTACCTGATATGAACAATTTACAATCTATACTAACTCAAAAAGCTTCCACATAAGTTTCAGCTTTCCTGGTCCAGTGTTCTTAAGAAAATAATTTTTAAAGATTTTTCTTACACATTTCAATGTAAAACTTTGATTCCCTATTGTGGCCCCATCCTATCCCCAGGGACTATGATTTGAACAATTTAGAAGATTTTCTGGCCCAGTGGTTCTTAAGAAAAAGATTTTTAAATGACCCCACCCTATTTTAATTTGCCTGTCCAGTGGTTCTTTAGAAGATTTTAAAAGATTTTTCCTATATATTTTAATGTAAAACTTTGATTCCCTATTGTGGCCTAACCCTAAATCCAGGGGCCATGATATGAACAATTTAGAATCTACACTCTACATAACTACATGTAATAGCTTTTCAGGTCCAATGGTTCTTAAGAAGAAAATTTTAAAAGATTGTTCTTATATATTTCAATGTAAAACTTTGATTCCCTATTGTGGCCCCACCGTATCCATGGGGGCCATGATATGAACAAATAAGAATTTACACTACCTCAGGAAGCTTCCACATAAGTTTCAGATATTCTGGTTCAGTGGTTCTTAAGAAGATTTTTAAATGACCCCACCCTATTTTAATTTGCTTTTTCTTGTTTATCCCCCCTTGGAAGGGGGCTTGGCCCTTCATTTTAACAATTAGAATCTCCTTCACCCAGGGATGCTTTGTACCAATTTTGGTAAAAATTGGCCCAGTGCTTCTTGAGAAGAAGTTGAAAATGTGAAAAGTTTACAGACAGATGGACAGATAGACAGACAGCTGGACGCCGGGTGATCAGAAAAGAGCTGAAACTCGAATGAGCTAACGATGTCCAGATAATGTTTGTTTTCTGGATTTTTCATTTGTATATGTGTAAGACATTATTCATGTCGAAATGTTTGGATAATAATCTGGCGATAGGCTTGCCAAATGTTTTTCTGTTCAGATACACCTGTAGCTGACTCCAGCCATTGCAAGCTTTGTTTACAATGTTACTTGATAGTTGTATGTGACGTCACAATCGCCTCTGCAAGCCCACTGACCATCCGGTAAATACAGTTTCAAATTCAGTGAAATATGTAGTGTTATGAACCATTTGCGATTGTATATATTATATAGGGACTATAAATAGACTATATAATATACAGTATCATTTTATTTAAAAAAGGGAGAAAAAAAACTGGTTCAAATGACATAATTTTAACAATTTCAAATAACTTAAGAATTTTTTCCCGTATTTTTTCTTTGAAATAGGACCCATCAGTAAAACTCGGCTATCGCAAAGTCCTTAGGTACCTGAGAATTTATTTCATTATATCCATAATTATACCCCCTACTCAAAAGGAGAGGGGGTATACTGTTTTACCCTTGTGGTTCTGTCTGTTTGTGTGTCAGTCTGTCTGTAATAATTAAATTTTCGTGGCAGTTTTCTCAGTAACTACTCAACAGATGCTTAAAATTTTAACACACTCATTGTTTAGACATGCCATATGGTGGGATTCATTTTTGTATGAATCCAATGTCAACTTCCTGTTCTCTGTCCATTAAAAATTTCTGTCGCAGTTTTCTTAGCAACTACTCATCACAGATGCTTGAAATTTTAGCACACTCTTTTTGTTTTGGCATGCCATATGGTTGGATTCATTTTTGTATGAATCCGATGTCAACTTCCTGTTTACCCCTGTGTGTCCTTACCAATATATTCATATCAGAGAAGGGGTATTACTAGTGAGCATCGGCTTGCAGACTTCTTGTTCGTTATAATGAATTTGATAAAGTATACATAGTGAATTCACAAAATACATGTTTTCTTCCAATCAAAATATACAATTTTCAGTCCAAAAATGGTGTAAATTTTCACTTGACTTTTTCAATATATATTCATTTCTTGGCAAAATCTGTTGAGTGAATGTATAAAGTTTGTTGAAACCTATATATTTAATATTCCTAGCATATAATAACAGAAAAATGCTTCGAGTAAAAAATATGAAGTTCCTAGATATTAAACAAATGTGTACATTTGAAGAATTTTCTTCTAAATATTGTGTGATTTTGTGACCAGTTTTTAAATTGAATTTTGTATAATTTGCATTGTTTAATTCAAATATATTAAAAAAACTGAATTGTTATAAGTTAAGTTTTGAAATGAGAGGTTCTGACTGAACTTTTATTAAAATTTGACGAGTGACATACCTTAAATGTAAACAAGCATTTGACTGTATCAAAGATTTATCATGCTAACTTTCTTCATCGTATTTCCAAAAAAGAAAGTCAAAACCTTTATGTTCATCTTCTTTGAAAGTGATAATAATTGTGTAAGGTTTACAGAACAATCAAAAAACAATTATTAGTTTGGTTTTTTTTTCTCATCTTTAATGCTATGCCAAGGAAATACCAGATTCATATTCGATATAACAGTAAACTTAATACGAACAATTATACAGTAACATATTACTAAATTTTAGTTTAGGTTTAAGAGGTCTAATGATAACAATTTTATCTAAGAGCTGAGACAAAAGTTTTTATCAGTGAAGATCACAATTTTTTTTTTAATCCAGACACTCTTGATCTGATATATCAAGACTATAAAAATCAAAACTGCACGACTAATTCTGTATGAATCATACCTACAACACTTTCTAAAGGTTTGTTTATTAGGAAATTACATTAAGATAATAATTTTTATTGAGACAGTTGCAAGCAAAATCCATTTACAAATGATTATGCTTTCTATATCATTTTATTATATTCATCAAATGTATATCTACTCAACGAGATGTCCTAGGCTGATAACTTTGTTAATTGACTGAAACATATAGGAACAATACTGCTTAGGATTGAGTTTTAGTATTGAGGAGAATTTTATAGTACATGCTTTCTCTATATAACCAACAAAAAAAAAAATGCAGTCCAGATGAAGAATGTAGAATTATAGCTACATGTATACACAAAAATAATTCACATATATTATACACTGTACATGACAATTATACTTTTATTAATTTTTGAAAGCACTAGTGTATCAACATGTATAGCAAAGATTTAACTGAATAACAAATAGACTGGTTGAATATGATTTCTATTCCAGTTATTATCAAATTCATCATTGATAATACCATAGTCACAGAACACAGTCATGCAATAATGGAATTTGTCATTAGTAAATGAAAGCTGACATCTATTTTCTGAGATTCTTTAGAACAAACTGGAATTTCCAATCCCTTCACTTTGTAGTATATCTTGAAATAATAAAAACTGCACCCATTTTGACTCCAAAGGAATATCATCTGAAAGTAGAAGACAGATAATTAGAAAGAAAGCTATCATTTTACACTGCAGGTGCTCCTTGGTTTAAGAGAACTAACAGATAAATAGCATTCAATCTGATTAAGATAGAGATCTTTACAATAGCGCAACACACGCAATTTGCACTATTGTAGAGATCTCTATTTTCAGGTCAGATGACAAGTTCCTCGAAAGTATATAATTTTTCTCAAGAATTTGTCATTGCAGTACTGCTACTTAAACAAGTTTCCTCACAAAAAATTGAGGTACCTTACCAGGCATTTGGGCAAGATACTAGAGGGTGATATTTCCATATAATTTTTGAATTGCCACTGTAACAATTTTTGGTGTACTTATATTTAAAAAAATACTGAAAACAATTTAGAAATCACAAGAGAATGACAATTATGAATAATTTATATAATACCAAGAGATACAAAATATATTTGAGGAACGTGTCACCTGACCTTAATCTGATTGAATAACATTTGAACTTTCCATATTTTAGGTGCATCTTCTGAAAATTACACATCATTAATAGATTCTATAATTACACATTAATCTTGATTCACTTTCAATATTGCTTTTTTTTCTCTCCTTCACTGTAAAACAAATAAAACTAGTTAATGTTTGGACACAATGCAAGATAGAGGTAAACAGCAATTATCATTGTAATGCATGCACAACCTTTGGTGCAAATATCGATCATTTCATAGCAATTGCTGGAGTAGAATGCTGATTTTCACTTAATAGAAATCTGACACATACTATTGCATAAATAATAAGAAAAATGTGAAATTAATGTCAAGAATGCAGGAAAACCAAGTATAACTTCATTTAATTTCCTGCTACATTATATTTTTTTTTCAACATTGTATTCATTTCTGTACATTTTTGCATCCAGATAGATAGCTGTTAACATTTATTTTCATTAATTTTTACCAACATTTTACATATAGTGTTGAAGTGTACATTCTTGTTAAGGTCTTCCGACTTCCTTCGGAAGACCTTATTGTTTTCCTTCTGTTTTCTATTATTATTATTAAGGTCTTCCGTCTTCACGGAAGACCTTATAGTGATTCTACTGTTTCTTATTAAGGTCTTCCGTCTTCACGGAAGACCTTATAGTGATTCTACTGTTTCTTATTATTATTATTATTATTATTATTTTTTTCCCCAAAATTTTGTGCAGGCGATTTCTCAAAAACTATTCAGTGGTTTTAAATGAAACTTTCAGGAATTATGCGTCGTCAAATGAACTTTGTTCATCAGAAGGAAAATTTGGAAAACTCGCTTCTGGTGCCAAGTTATTGACAGTTTTCTGATTTTAAAATGAAATTTTGTCCCCCCTTTTTTTCAAAAATGGTTTAAGATATGAACTGGAGACTTGTTAGAGATGATAGGTTATGTCTTCTAGATGAGGGGAATCACCTTTTTGTGCGTCGTCAATACTTCCGGTCGTTACCGGATGCGAATTTAAAAAAGTCGTATTTTTAAACTTTTTTGTTTTTCTATATTTTTCTTTTATTTTAATAAGGTTAATAGAGACTCTTCTGAAAATTCTTTATATATAATTTATTTTAGAATTGATCAATCCAAACTCTAGATATTCGCATTTCTAAATTTGAAGCGGGTCCAAAATGGCGGCTGTCTCTGTAAACTCCGATAAGTAGGTCAGAATTTACGGAGTCAGCCGAGCGTTTGTTTGAATGAAAGTACCATAAGGATCAAAGAAATGTGAAGGAAATGTTGGATTGTCACATCACAATTACGTTGCAATTCTGTTTCGCAATAGAGTTTTAATCCGGGGTTTCCTCAAACGTCTACTATAATTTTTCTTGTCTGTATCTCAAAGTAGAAAAACGACATGACTACAAGTGGAAATACGATAACTACAACCTTTTGTTTTACACCATGGAAAAACTGATCCTAAACCATGGTTTTAAGTAAAAGCTTTTCAAGAAACTTGCCTGACTAAAGCAATCAATATATAGTAATTATTACGTGGCCATTGTTTTTTCCCCATGCAGGCTTGTGTCATATTAAATGAACAGAAAAGACAGAAATAAGAAAACCATTTTTTTAAAGATTGTTTAATGAAAATGATTAAAATATTTTTTTTCTAAAAGATGTTGTTATTGAACATAAATGGTATCAGATTCCTTGACCGTCGCAGGACGAGACATGTTTTTGGGCGAAACATTCTAGTCTTCCCATGAATGTGTAACTAATCGGGATAGTCCAGTTTGGGGGTAAACAGGAAAATAAAACTTGTAGAAAATCTTACCTAAATCACTGCTTCAGTGTTACTTATCCATACGATATATAATAAGTACAATATGATAAATATACTTTCTCAAGCTCGATATTCAGGTTATAAGAACATACATTTTGATATTTCATTGAAACCATCACCATTCAATAGAAAATACATTCCGAAGGAAATGCGCGAATATTTAACCGTGACGTTTGGCGCGAAATAATGTATCGTGACCAACCTTTCGTAGTAGACAAATGGTCTGATGCAGAAGTATATAGAAGTGCAGAAAAAGATTACATGGACATGCCTGTATATGGAATTACATGAAATAAAAAGTTGAATACATAAAGAATAAAAGAAAGTAAACAGTATCATCAGAGAATGGCTAAAGATATGAATATGAAACTTGCTGAGGTGATAGAGCATCAAATGTAGATATGGTGATTGACCATTATTTTTCGTCGTTCCTACTTCCGGTCGCAAACGGAAGTGAATTCAAAAATGTTAAATTTGCAACTTTTTGTTTTTCAATATTTTTCTTTGGGATTTACAGGGTAAATAGAGAGTCTTCTGGGAGTTTTATGCATATTTTCATCTTTTTGATTGAAAAAGTTTGCAGAGATTTTTATAAAATTCACTTCCGGTCGAGTGTTTACCTGTTCTCAAAATTAGAATTTGTTCTAACAATATTGCTCGGCAACAGTAAACGACTGAAGTCTGAAACTTTCAGGTCTGATAGTCAGTCATCAGTTTATTTGAATCGTGAGAAAATCTTGTATCGCCGTTACTTCCGGTCGTGACAGGAAGTGATGCAAAAAAGTGAATGGTTAATGGTTTGCTTTCTTGGATTTTCACGCTGAATTTCTTTTATCACTTTTTCAGCGTGAATTTTTGTTTTTATTTTCAGAATCGGACGGAAGACCTCTCATTGCTCGCAATGAGTTTCTAGTTATTATTATTATTTTTTTTTTTTCCCCAAAATTTTGTGCAGGCGATTTCTCAAAAACTATTCAGTGGTTTTAAATGAATCTTTCAGGAATTATGCGTCGTCAAATGAACTTTGTTCATCAGAAGGAAAATTTGGAAAACTCGCTTCTGGTGCCAAGTTATTGACAGTTTTCTGATTTTAAAATGAAATTTTGTCCCCCCTTTTTTTCAAAAATGGTTTAAGATATGAACTGGAGACTTGTTAGAGATGATAGGTTATGTCTTCTAGATGAGGGGAATCACCTTTTTGTGCGTCGTCAATACTTCCGGTCGTTACCGGATGCGAATTTAAAAAAGTCGTATTTTTAAACTTTTTTGTTTTTCTATATTTTTCTTTTATTTTAATAAGGTTAATAGAGACTCTTCTGAAAATGTTATATATATAATTTATTTTAGAATTGATCAATCCAAACTCTAGATATTCACATTTCTAAATTTGAAGCGGGTCCAAAATGGCGGCTGTCTCTGTAAACTCCGATAAGTAGGTCAGAATTTACGGAGTCAGCCGAGCGTTTGTTTGAATGAAAGTACCATAAGGATCAAAGAAATGTGAAGGAAATGTTGGATTGTCATATCACAATTACGTTGCAATTCTGTTTCGCAATAGAGTTTTAATCCGGGGTTTCCTCAAACGTCTACTATAATTTTTGAGTTCTTGTCTGTATCTCAAAGTAGAAAAACGACATGACTATAAGTGGAAATATGATAACTACAACCTTTTGTTTTACACCACGGAAAAACTGATCCTAAACCATGGTTATAAGTAAAAGCTTTTCAAGAAACTTGCCTGACTAAAGCAATCAATATATAGTAATTATTACGTGGCCATTGTTTTTCCCCATGCAGGCTTGTGTCATATTAAATGAACAGAAAAGACAGAAATAAGAAAACCATTTTTTTAAAGATTGTTTAATGAAAATGATTTAAATATTTTTTTTCTAAAAGATGTTGTTATTGAACATAAATGGTATCAGATTCCTTGACCATCGCAGGACGAGACATGTTTTTGGGCGAAACATTCTAGTCTTCCCATGAATGTGTAACTAATCGGGATAGTCCAGTTTGGGGGTAAACAGGAAAATAAAACTTGTAGAAAATCTTACCTAAATCACTGCTTCAGTGTTACTTATCCATACGATATATAATAAGTACAATATGATAAATATACTTTCTCAAGCTCGATATTCAGGTTATAAGAACATACATTTTGAAATTTCATTGAAACCATCACCATTCAATAGAAAATACATTCCGAAGGATATGCGCGAATATTCACCCGTGACATTTCGCGCGAAATAATGTATCGTGATCAACCTTTCGTAGTAGACAAATGGTCTGATGCAGAAGTATATAGAAGTGCAGAAAAAGATTACATGGACATGCCTGTATATGGAATTACATGAAATAAAAAGTTGAATACATAAAGAATAAAAGAAAGTAAACAGTATCAACAGAGAATGGCTAAAGATATGAATATGAAACTTGCTGAGGTGATAGAGCATCAAATGTAGATATATTGATCGACAATTAATTTTCGTCGTTCTTACTTCCGGTCGCAAACGAAAGTGAATTCAAAAATGTTAAATTTGCAACTGTTTTGTTTTTCAATATTTTTCTTTGGGATTTACAGGGTTAATAGAGAGTCTTTTAGGAGTTTTATGTATGTTTTCATCTTTTTGATTGAAAAAGTTTGCAGAGATTTTTATAAAATTCACTTCCAGTCGAGTGATTACCTGTCCTCAAAATTAGAATTTA